GAGTCGATTCTGACTCACAGCGCCCCTAGAGGACAGAGTGGAACTGCCCCACAGGGTTTCCAAACCTGTCAATCTTTACAGCAGCAAAGCCCAAACCAAACCCACAGCCCTGGAGTGAATTCTGACTCACAGCGCCCCTAGAGGACAGAGTGGAACTGCCCCGCAGGGTTTCCAAGGTTGTCAATCTTTATGGAAGTGGACTGTCACATCTTTCTCCCGCAGGGCCGCTGGTGGATTCTAACAGGAGACCTTCTGGTTCACAGCTGAGCATGTAACCACTGCACCACCAGGGTTCCTTAAAAGTTGGACACAGGTAGGATAATCATTTCTATTTCTAAACTTGGTGCTGAAGACATTTTTGATTGTCACAATGTTTCAGAATGGGAGTGATACTGTCATTTATTAGGTGGGGATCAGGAATACTGTTCCAGTGTGGGACTGGCGCTGCCCAACAAAGAATGTCCCAGAGAGTGCCAAGAGTGCCTCAAGAAGCACTACAGACTTGGTCTCTCTGGTTCTGGCTGCTGCTGACCACCTCTTCTATTTAAAGGGGGGGGAATACAACTCATTTGTGGCCAATGAGAGTATTCCACCTCCCTGATCATTGTGATTGGTTCAAGGATGACTATATAATCTAGATCTGACCAATCAGAATACTCTATGCCACTGGCCACAGGTATTGGTTTAGTTAAAAGCATGTGACCTTGTTCTAGCCAATGAGAATTCGTTCTAGCACTTTGTTAGAACTACAGGGAGGTGACTTTGTTCTCCTAAGAGTGTCAACCTAGAGCTGGTTTCTTAAACTACAGTGCAGCATGTTTTTGTCAACAGAGTGTTATTGGAATGTGCCACGCCCATGTGCTTGCTTCTGAGGAGCCCTAGTGGCGCAGTGTTTAAGCGCTTGGCTGCTAACCAAAAGGTCAGCAGTTTGAACCCACCACCAGCTGCTCACTTGCAGAAAGATGTGGCAGTCTGCTTCCCTAACGATCACAGCCTTAGATCTAAGAACTACCCCATGAGGCAGTTCTTGGTGGCAGTGGGTTCGGTATGGTTACTTTGGCTCCCATGGCAGAATTTCATGGTTGTGACAGAGGCTATCCCGTCCACAAAGCCTAACATGTAGTTTCTGGCTCTGTTGGCTTTCTCCTGGCCCAGAGCTGCTGGCAAGTGTCTGTCATTATCGGATGACAGGAAAAGAGGTGTCATGTAAAAAGGACAAGAGTTACTGGGAGGGTGGTCTGTAGAAGAATTATCAATGGAGTTAAGACAGTCAAGGGAAGGTGAGCCAAGACAGGGTAGAAATAAGGGGAAATCGAGGCAGTGTGCAGAGCAGCTGGCAGGGGGTGAGGAGTTGCAGGCCTGAGGCCAATGAAGGAGGCTGGTCTGACCGCCCGGAGGAAGCAGGTGCACTCACCTTGTGACCTCAGGTCCCCCGATTCTCTCAGGTTCGTCTGCGACCCTAGCAGTAGAAGAAAGGGAGAGTGTCTATTCTGGGCACAGGGGACACCCCCCTCTCCAACCCAGTGCCCCCGGAACTCCGGGTGGCTCCTGCTCAGCCCAGCTCCCTCCTGACTGGCTGGAGCTGGGCTGGGAAGGGCCTGGAGTCAGGACGTGATCCCCTTTCTCCATCCCCAGAAGGGGGCTTGTTCTGAGATGGTTAGTGGAAGTCATAGGAAAGATACTGAAAAACTTAGGAGTTGAAAGAGGGGGTGGGGGTGGGCAGAGACCAACATTACAGACAGAAGGTAACAGAGAGAGAAACACACACACACACACACACACACACACACACAAGCCCCCCTTCAGGGTTCTGCTCAAACGGCCCCTCCCCATGAGGCCTGCTCCCTGTAAAACCACCACTGTGCCTTCTCCATGGCTCTGAACTCCTGTTACTTTTCTTCTCAGTACTTGTCACTACTGGACAGTCTGAATGTTTTACTTATTTATTAGTCTGAGATGCTCTGGTGGCACAATGGTTAAAGCACCTGGATAGTAACCAAAAGGTCACAGTTCAAACCTACCAACTGCTCCGCGGCAGAAAGATGTGGCAGTCTGCTCCCATAAAGATTGACAGCCTCGGAAACACTATGGGGCAGTGCTACATGGTGGTCCGGCGCACTGTGAGTGGGAATTGACTCAAGGGCAACGAGTTTAGATAAGGAGCTCTGGAGACACAGTGGTTTAAGCACGTGGCTGCCAAAGAAAAGGGCGGCAGTTTGAACCCACCAACCACTCTGCAGAAGATGAGGCAGTCGGCTTTTGTAAAGATTGACAGCCTTGGAAGCCCTCTGGGGCAGATCCACTCTGTCCACTAGGGGCGCTGTGAGTTGGAATGGACTCAGCAGCAGTGGGCTTGGTTTGGGCTTTGCTTCAGTAAACTTGGAAACTCTATGGTTCTACTCTGTGCTCTAGCAGTGCTGTGAGTTGAAATCGACTTGATAGCAGTGGGTATTGTCCACGTCCCCCAGTAACAGATTGTTGGCTCTACCAGGGCAGGAGTTTTACACATTTAGTTCACTCTCCACTCTAGGGCCTGGGAGCTCTGGTAGCATAGTGGCTAAGGCACTTGACTGCTAACCAGAAGGCTGATGGTTCAAACCCACCAGCCACTCCTCGGAAGATGGGGCAGTCTACTTCTGTAGTGATACTGCCTTGGAAACCAAAGGAGGAGTCAGGTCTGACTCGACGGCACATAACAACAACAACAACTCTAGGGCCTAGGATGGGGCCAGGTATACAGTAGGGGCTCAATGCATAACAATAACAGTAAACATTTATAAACACTTTCCAAGGCAATGTTGTGAGCTGTCAGTCCCTGTATCACATCATTTAATCCTCACCACAACCCAACAAGGAAAGTACTGTTATTACTATTCTTTCCCATCTTATGGAGGAGAAATGTGAGGCCCAGAGAGGTTGAGTGACTTGGCCAAGGCCACTCAGCAAAGCTGAGGTGGGAACCCTGACAGTCTAGCTTGGGAGGCTGTGCCTCAGGCCACTCTACCATCTGTCCAATGAGGAAGTGAGGGAACAAGCAGACCCGCCCCACTCACACTCCTGGAGCCCCGCCTCTGCACACACAGGCCAAGCACACAGGCAAGAAGGCAGAGAGAAGACAGTGGGGGGACTTACTGATCTTGGATCCCTGGGGCAGAGAGGCGCCCGAGACACAGCGGTTAGAATTCTGCCGTTTAGAGGGATCGAGGGTAACCCTGCAGTGCAAGGGGG